CAAAACCCAAATCCCCTCTTTTCTAACCTTGAAACTGTGGCAAGAAATGAACTTTATCCCCTGAGAGTGATGGAAAATTCTCAAAGCCTTGACCTTGAAAACAAACTTTTTGCACCGGGCCACAGACAAGACATTGACCATGAACAAGAAATGACTTGTGAGTTGCAAGGAAAAGGAGAAGTACCCAAAAGGCTGTAATGGTGCTACTATACCCTAATGAGACAAGAAGACATCAAACGGTCGAAAATCTTTTAATCATACAAAAAATGGAAGGCAAGAAAATCAGAAGAATCTTGGGAGAGCAGTACCAAGTTTTTTAAAATAAGCTTACCCAACTAGTGAAAGTACCAAAGCTTCCTCCTTAATTAAAAAACAAGAAAATACCAAAGCTACCAAAACAGGACACAGCTGCGCAGAAAGAGAGCAATCCACGTTCAAAAATCAAAAAATCAAAGCCACTTACAGAGTTACAGTCACACGCTGGCTCTTTCTCAGAAGAAAATGTCAGACGAGTCTTTAATACAATACTTCATAGTAGCACCATTACAATTAACAATTAATTGCATAGTATTAACAATTAGTAATTCATAGTATTGATAATTAAATTAATTAATTGCATGTACTGGCATAGCGGTGTACGGCAAGTGGCAACTTGTCAAGATCCCTATTAAGTGTGTGTCGTTGTGCTGTACAGTGCGGTACTAGAAAGGCAGTGGGACTCGATGGTTTAATTTTTATTTGAACCCGGAGTCTCAATAATCATACACACAGCTAAGAGTGATAATTCCCCGTATGGCCGTATAAATGTCACTTTAGCTTAAAATCAATTTTATAGATAGCGATATAATCGAGTCGAGCGAGTGTATCACTATACTCAAACTCGCGCTCGAGCAAACAACAGAAATGAAGTTTGAATTTAAATTTAAAAAATAGCTCAAAAATTCGAGATCGATCCAATTTTCTTACCAATATGATCGAACTCGAGTATTTAACTCGACTAAAAGAGTGATTCTAATAATTTATACAACTTCCAATCCTAAAATTGTAATAACTAAAAATATAATTTTTAATTAATTACTTTGTACTAAATAAAGTTCAACAAGCCACCAAACTTGAAAAATCAATACTCGAACTCGACTTAAATAATTATTGAATTATTCGGGCTCGGCTCGTGCTCGAATAAAATTGAATGCGAGTCAAACTTTATATCGAGTTACTCGTGAGCTGCTCGCGAGTAACTCGATTTGATTACATTTCTGTTGTAGGCAAACATATGTTATTTATGGAGGTAGGTACAATTTGCAAGTTTTAATGAACATAAAACATTTGTGACGGCTTATTCCATCAATCCATTTTAATAGGTACGTGTACAAGTGAAGACGAGGTTAATAGAAACCATAACTCCATAAGAGTGTGGATGGAATTAATAAAGGCAATCGCTATAGCGTTCAAAATTGGTTTTATTTTTTAAAATTATAGTATTTTTTTTTCCTTTCATCCTTTTTCACATATTTTTATTCTCAATTATCGGATATAGAATTCAAATTATAAACCTAACAGCAGAAAAAACTATAAATGTCATTCCCTAATATCAGCAGAAAAAAAAAATGCGGTGAGTACCGTCAAATGAAAAGGAAGAATGGTGGGTTGAGGGTTCAGGAGAACGGACGGTGGATATTGGGGGCTGGAACAGGGAATTTACCGTTGGATTGGTTGAATTTTGAAAAGTGCTTTTCAAATTTTGATTGCACGTTATTCGAAGCGAAGGCTGACATGGCAGATTAATTTTGCCAAATGTAAATGGGGACCGCTTGCGGAAGCTTTTGAAAAGTTGAGTTCGATTTCACGGTGGACTTTCCATGCACGTGTTGCAGAGTTTTTGGAGTCATGACTCGTGAGGGCTATTTTTTTAATCTTTTGACAAAAGAGTGAGATGACTAAAAGTTCATAATTGAATATGGGAATTGAATTTATTCAATCAAATAAATACATATGAAACAAAAATAATATAGCCAAAACACGGATGGGAAACGAATTAAAGAATCAACACAAATACGCTTTACAAAAAAGGATTACTAGTAAACTTTCAAAAAGTGATCCGCTTCTTTTAAGATTAAAGTAGATGCTTTGAGACAAACATTATAACAATACATCTTCCATATTGCTCTTGTTTATCCTCAAGAACCTTATTTATATTCACAATTTATTATGAAGAGACAAAATCCCTTTTCTACCTCTAAGTCTTTTAACGTAGCACATTGTTCGAATTGTAGATTTTCGCAGAAAAATTTTTATGTTTTTTCGCGAGCATATTTCATAATCATTTTTTTTCGTATACATCAAATCGTTATAATTTATTTTTTTTTATAAAAATTCTTAAAAATAGCAATTCAAACGGGAATGCTATGAAAGTCGTGGGGAAAGGGATTCGAATATTTAGCACATAAAAATATAAACACTAAAAGAGTGGCCGATAACTAACTACTTTTAGAGTTGTTAGCTACCAGTGAGAGCCTCAGGACTCTCCATGGATGCAGGCGTCATTTGACTTGCATTCATTTCCAAAATTTCTTGTAGGTTTTACTAGTTGCATCCGTTTTGATTCGGTAGTGATTTAGTCTCTTCTAACTTTTCTCTTGACCCATATGGACTCACCCCCTTACTCTTAGTATAGAGTAGGAGTAAGAATATAATAGAAAAGCTATTGCGTCGACAAAAAAAAAAAACTAAAAGGGCAGCCGTTTGACTGGAAATAACAGGAAGGTCCTTTTATTACCCGATCAGCCCCAATCGTGCTTGCCGGTGACTCTGAAAAGTTCTCAAGACGACTCCTCGTCAATCTAAGAGTAATTAGTTTTCGAAAGATGCAAGGGAATAGTACATCCATCAGCAGGCGCGCAGAGATAACAATTTTGGTTTGACGATGATTCAGTCCTTTCCACCTTCTTTTTTTTTTCTGGGTTCATTTGGACTCATGTCTACCCCTCCTTAACATAAAATCGAAGTAAGAATAAAATAAGAAAGTTATCGATAATAAATAAATAAATAAAAAGGCTGCCTTCTGACCCCAAATAATTAATAAGAGGGTCCTTTATTACACAAGCAGCCCCAATTGTGCTTGCCGATGACTTGAAAAGTTCTCAAAGTGACTCCTCATCAATCTAAGAGTAATCAATTTTCGAAAGATGCAGGGGAACAGTATATTCATCCGTTCGATCCGATAATGATTCAATTTTTTTTAAACTTTTTCGTTGGCTCATTTGATTTCACCCCCTTCCCCTTGATATAAAATAAGAATAGGTGTAAAATAGGAAGGCTATGTCTGTCGATAAGAAAAAAATTAAAAGAAGAGCAGCCGTTTGACTCCAAATAAAAGAAGGGTCCTTTATCACCCAAGCAGCCCCAATCGTGCTTGTCGGTGACCTTGCAAAGTTCTCAAGGCGACTCCTCGTCAATCTAAGACTAATCAATTTTCAAAAGATGCAGGGGAATAGTACGTCTAGATAAATCCAGAATGACAAGAAAATTTTGATGATGGAGTTATTAAAGTAAACCAACACCCGAGCCCCTAGATGCAAAATGCCAAATCAAATAATGACAAAAATCGTTTGGCTCACGGACTTGATCATCAGCGGGCAGCCGTCTACTTGTGAGTAAACTAGTCGAATGAGCAGACCGGATTTATTTTCATTTTTATTTTTATTTGTTTAGTTCAACAATTTTGCGAAATTACGTTCGACAAGGTGCAAGTGATTTTGTTTGTATCATAAGTAGTTTTCTAATTATTTTCAATTAAATTTTCATCTTATAAATATTTGTTATTGCACCAATGTAATTGTGCTGACTGCTGAGTAAAAAAAATGGAAGAACAGCAGCAGCAACCCAGCACAATACGCGGAGGGGACTGTTGGGACCGGTGTAAATATTCCGAGGAGGCAAAAGGCGCTCCAGGTTCAGATATAACGACAACCCTCATTGGCTCGTTGCTTTGAAATTTTCGGTTTGATGCAATCCTTCTAGTTTTAGCATGATAGATTTGCTCAAGCAGGAATGCCTGCTGAACCGGAACCAGTCCATCGCAGCCTTTTTGAAAAGGCTACTACAGGACAGCAGCAAATTTTGCAGCGACTGGATGAGTAGCTGCAATTACCCCAGTCAGCTTCCAGAGAAGGAGAGAGACGAGAAGGTTTGTGGGTGGTCTAAGGTCCTATTGGAGGACCATTGGCGGGTGAACCACGAGACGCGTGGGATGGGGTGGGCCGACGTTGGCTTGCTGGAGTGGTTGCAGGGACGTGACGCTGTCTCCTGTCGGCTTCATTCTACTACTACTCTTTTCACTTTTTCCCGCTGCCACCCATTATCTAATATATCATCACTTCTATTACTTTTTTGCGTACAAATTTGTACTCCTACGCTGGGCTCCGCTGTCCCGTTGCATTGTCTTTCCTACCACTCTACCAATTCCGCGTGTTTTTCTACCAGATCGATCCTTCTACAGCTGACGTTTCACCCCCCCCCCCCCCAAAAAAAAAAAAAAAAAAAAAAAAAAGGTGTTACCTATCCAGTTGCGAAATCCCACTTCTGCATACATCTTGCGTTAACCATTCCTCAGTTTAAAAGTATGGTTTGTAAGTGGTTGATCATCTTTAGACGAGAATGCCGTCATGCAATCGCGCTTCAACGCAGCTTTAACATTTAACGACCTCAAATGGAAGTATACCTAAATACAGCTTTTGGCATGTATCCAGGTACTACTATTCAAGTACTTTTAAGCAACCAAAGTTCTGCATCGAGTGGAAACAGGAAGCAAATAAGCAGAGCCAATTGCTAAGTGCAATCAAACTAAAAACGTCAATGACCCTTTTTGGAAAGGGCAAAAGATGGGGATGAACTATTATGACAACAATGTACCGGCAGCTTATTGATCAGCGATGATATGACAGGCAACAAAATAGTAGAACCCGTCACCAACTGTCAAACCAACTAGAAGCGCGATGCATCTCAGACAAAGATCACAACACTAGAAGCATTCAAACCAAAATATCAGAACACTAATTTAAGCATTCAAAGGATAATAATCACAAGTCAAGTAAAATTCCAAGAAATCACAGAATCTGTCTACAGCTACTAAAATAGAGCAAGTCAACTAACTAGACTAGGTCCACAGACAGCACAAGCACTACAGATTGCGTTGCTAAAGGACATGCAGAGAAAGAGTTGAATTTGATGTTCGTACAAACTGCCACTTAAAACTTCCCTTCTCAAGAACGAGATCTCTCCCGTGGTGGCGGTGAACGACTGCAATAGCCATAAAGATTTAGATGCAGCATCATTACAGGGCCACACCAACCATATAAACCATTAATTTATGACATCTATTTTTTTTTTTTTTGGTTAAAGCCAACCAGAAGCAAAGAAGCAACGAGAAGGGAGGAAAAGAGAGTCAAACCTGTGATATCTTTCATTGACAGGACTCTCAGCTCTACCATAGTCAGGACTTCCCCGAGGCTCCGCTCTTGAACTTGGGATTGATCCATGACCATAATCAGGGCTTCCCCTATCCCTGCGGTACGGACTGGGAGATCTCCCACGACCATGCCCTCTTCTATCTGGGGACATATCACGGCCTCGTCTATCAGGGCTGTAACCATTTCTTCTGTCGTCATCATCTCGAATTGCGTACTCAACAGAAATAGCTCTATCCATAAACTTGCTGTCAAGCAAAGTGAAAGTATCCAAATGAAAGGGATCAATGAAGGGTCAATGAGACAGTAATAACATATCAAACTATTGTCTATCCCGAAAAGGTCAATTGAGATGACGTGTGGTGCATGAAATCCTACACAGACCAGTACAGAAAAGCAAAATAAAGAGTTGAAAACTATCCAAACACAAGCAACATCGTCAACTGTAATGATCTTTTTAGCAACAAAGATCAGCATGTAAAACGAAGTTATTTTATTTAAGTGTTACTAAAATAAATGCATTTTTTTTTCCTCGATATTACTATCTGAGTAACAAACTCTGCATTGAACTTGCACCAAACAGGAAATCAAAGGCATATTTTCCAGACTTCTCTTAACAGGGGGAAAAGGGAAACCTCATATGTAGTGCTTCCAATGCTCTACTGGCATCTTCCTGCAACTCAAACTGCACAAATGCAAAATTCCTTCTGATTCTCACATTTGATATTCTTCCATAAGGCTCAAAGTGCCTCTCTAGGTCCTTTGTCCTAGTATGAATCGGATCAAAGTTTATAACAAACAGAGTTTTTGAAGGTCTTGAATTAGATGAAGATCTTTTTGGGCTCCCACCAGGCCTTCTTATACCACGTTCTTGCTGCACAAAAAAGATTTAGCAGGATTGGTCCTAAGCTAACACTTAAACCAGCTAGAATGTCATTAACAATTCCAGTTTACAAGCAAAGCACCAACTTGGTATAATAAATGTACAAACCTTGGTCCATTCAACACGAAGTCTACGCCCCTTTCTACCAAACTCTATCCTGTCAAGTCTTCTAATTGCATCATCAGCATCCCGCTCATCTTCCATGTACACAAAAGCAAAACCTGTAGAATCGACACAATGAGAAACCAAACAACAGGTCTCCAGTTTGAAGGTAGACAGTAAAGCTAATTCGCTAAAGTTTTCAACCATTATGCCTCCTTTGTGGGCTCCTGAGACTACTAAACCACAATTACTAAATGGAATTACCAACCGAACCAATGATTCAGAGTGGGGAAATGAGAAATTTGTTGGAGCAAACACAAAACCTGCCATTGGTACCGAGATGATCATGATTTCTATGTGGAACATGTTGGGAATTGAATACTTGACAAAGCATGACAAATGGAAAGGGGCAATGGTCTGAGGTAAGTGTGGGATGGTAGAACCATGGTGGATCATATTGGTCCTTTCGGAAAAACATTAACATGTATCTTGGGAACAAGCCAGAAAAGGGATGCAGAGAACCATCCATCCAGGAAGATCATGGAAAGTCCAAGTAATCCTGCGCCAAAGAAACTGTTGAGCTTGGCGGTTTAACTACAAGAAATACTTGCATTTCTGAAATAAAATCAATAGATTAGTGACATTAAGAAGTTACTATTTGAAGAAACATTTGACCCTTGAAGCTGTCAGCCAAGAGCCCATATGAAGAGTTATGGGCACAATCTTATGTGAGATGCCCAGATTTCACACACACAAAAAAAAATCAATTTTAATTCATGGTGCAATTCATCCAAATAACTTAAGTTTAAGCAATTTACACAGACAGAAGATCCCAATCTATCCTATATAATTCATACAATTGAATCTAGTCCCATGCATACTTTTAAAACTGCTAAAGTACAAAAGATAACAACTTGGAGGCAAACGAAGCTCATACACCATACGATGTTAGACAACAAGACTTGTTATGAGTACTAGTTTGTTATGCACTTCTACATACAACATGAGGATGACAAACTTCAGCATTCAGGCAAATTTACAAATGTTGCAAGTACGCTACAATATTCAGTCACCATGGAGACCATCCAACAACCTCAAGAGGTTCATAATAGGAACCTTCAACCACCAAGTGGTTAGGAGTAAAGAAGAGCCCTGGTTGGGGAAGTTTTAAGAGTTCCAGTCAAGTAGAGAAGAAAGATTGTATTATAGTACCTGATTTCATATCCACCCTCTCAACCTTCCCATATTTTCTGAAAAGTCGTTCAACATCAGACTGACGTGCATCGAACTCCAGATTCCCACAAAAAATTGGCCTCATATTCCCTGAAGCTCTCAAAAAACCTATTTCAACCCAGTAATAAACACCCTATTAGACAAATAATTTTGGAGAGCATGCCCAATGATAACAAAAAGAATATTCCAATTCATGCATAAAATGATTCGTGAACCATAGCTAGTCTCAAATCTACATCAATAAATACAAAAAATACAGGCTCTCTAAACATCCTATAGAGGCAAAGCTTTTCATCTTACTAGTCGGAATACAAACATCCTACCCAAGAAAAACCATGCATTGTACCAGCAAATAATTTGGGATAAACTTTACGATGAGCAAACCATTCTCTCATTTTTGCACACCAATAAGCAACTTAACTGATATACTGGAGATCCCAAAAAAGTCCAACAGGATATGAGATAATTTGAGTAACTACACAGCTAGGCCATATTCCAAGAATGACTACACATTTATATGGAAGTGAAAGCATTATTGCGGTGCCGGAGTCTTCCAAATTGCAACTTATGTTTCATCAAATATATAACTAAACATAACAGAGGCAATTCAAATTTAATAAAGACTACATTCACTATTTATTGCTGTTCATTTTGCTTCACTAAAAAAAAATCTCAAATTAATCAACTACAAGAAACTATTCAACTCATCAAGTCAAATACGTATCACTAATCCCTTGGCCTCCAAACACTTAAAACTTTCTGAGATTCATTCAGCTCTAATTCTCTCCAGGAGATTTTATATCCTTTCAGATTTGAACACTTACACTTCCTTTATGTAGTAAAAAGAAGGGCAACGGAAACAACAATCATATGCATATTCTTATAGCCCCTGCGTTCCATCCAATCAGCCCTCTTCCGCCATTTTGCACTCTTGTGCTCATCCTCCCCTTCTCAAACCCTAAAAATCCCTTTCTTTTTTTTTGCCTGATTCTGCCTCAGTCGTAATTCAACCACTGTCACTATTTTGTTAGTAATTGCATTTATCAGTCCACTTGCATCCTCCGTCTCCACCCAAAAAGGGCATGTAAATCAAATACATTCTAATTTAACTAAAAAAAAGGGAGCTAAATCCAGCAAAAAAAAAAAGAAACTTTGACAAGAAATTACATCAAATTCAGCGATTAAAAGTCAAATTTGATCCCAGATAAAAACCAATTGTATAATCAGCAGTTCGCTTTTTAAAGTTGAAAACAGCCAAAAAAAAAAAAAGATGCTTACTGCACAGAAATATAAAGGCCGAAAAGGGATCCAATATTATTACCGAAAGAAAGAAAATTTTCCAATTAATCGCACGATCTGAGTAGGATCGTTCAGCCCTCGGCAGGACCTGAAAATATTGACAAGATTAGATCAAAAACGGATCTATATTTTTGTTATATGTAAGATTACAGAGAAACGGAAGGAAGCTATAAACCTTTGCAGCAGACGGATTCAGACGAACCCTTGACGGCTGGAGCGGGGATCGCAGGCACAGAGTGAAGAGACAGATAGCGGCTTTGGCAGATATTTTTAGTTAGTGTTCGTATATTTCAATTAGGCCCATGATGTTTGCATAAGATAACATTTTTAGGCCCTCATACTTTATCAAGTTTCATCCAGGCCCTTTATTGTCTTGTGCCTCTTGGAGATCTATTGGCAAGGATTCAAGAATGTACAATCGGGTCCGTTTGGATCCCTTGTTTTTGCCCTTGTTTTTTAAAAATTGTTTTTCACATTCCAAATGCTACAGTAAATGTGTATTTTCAAAACAACTCCAAAAACACCATATCGGGGTTTGTTTGGATAGAGTATTATTTGAAATATTATTTGGAATAATTACTGTAGCACTTTTTGTGATGTGATTTATGTGAGATAAAAAGTTGATTGGAAATATAAAAAGATGGGTTGGGAAATGTGTTTATGATGCAAGCGAAATATTATTTGGAATAATATGTATATCCAAACACTCCCATAATATCAAAAACAACTCCATATGTATATTTCAATTATGTATATTATATATATATATATTATATCAATATAAATTGAAATATACAAATTGAAAATTATATATTTATATATTATAAATTATATAAATATTTATATACATTAATATTATACATAATATAATATGCATAATATGTAATATTGTATACATAAATGTATAAATATTTATATCAAATATATTATGTATATTATATTATAATATATACATTATTAATGTATAATATTATTATGTACATTATTGTATATAATAATGTATAATAATATTATGTATAATATAATATAAATAATATGTAATAATGTATAAATGTATATTATGTATTGTATATTATATTATGTATATTATATTATATATATACAATATTATGTATATTATACAAAATGAAAATTATATATTATATATTATGTAAATATTTATATAATGAAATATACAATAAATATTACAAATTGAAATATTATATAAACACCATATTTATAATATTATAATATTTATAATTAATATTAATATATAATATATATTAAATATTTATTTATACATATTATAAATAATTTATTTTATTTAAAAATATTTTTATATATTTATAATATATTTATATAAATATTATATATTATATAAATTATATGTAATATAATATATATTATATATTATATATATTATACATTTCTATAAATGTACATTTATACATAATATATATATATTAATGTATATTTATAATATACATTTACATTATGTATTTTATATAATATAATAAATTTATACATTAATATTAATATACATAATATTAATTTTACATTTATACATAATATTAATACATTTATGCATTTATATTAATTATATTAATATATTTATACATAATATTAATATTCATTTATATAGTATTCATTAATATAATATTCATTTATAATTTATACATTTATAATAATATACACTTATACATTTATAAATATATTTATATTATGTATTATATATAATATAATACATTTATATATTTTTATATAAATATATTTATTTATAAATGTATCATAAATGAATAAATGTATATTTATAGAAAAATTATAAATTATGATTTATAATTTATACATTTATATTAATATACACTTATACATTTATAAATATATTATATATTATGTATTATATATAATATAATACATTTATATATTTTTATATACATTTATATATTTTTATATAAATATATTTATTTATGAATGTATTATAAGTGTATTATAAATGCATAAATGTATATTTATATAAAAATTATAAATTATAATTTATACATTTATATAATATTCATTTATAATTTATACATTTATAATAATATACATTTATAAATATATTTATATTATGTATTATATATAATATAATACATTTATATTATTATAAATGTATAAATATAATTTATTTATACATTTATATATTTTTATATAAATATATAAAAATATTTATTTATAAATATTTATAAATGTATTATAAATACAATATTATATATAAATATAAAAATTATAAATTATAAAATACTCAAAAATATGTTTTAAAAATGCCTCTAAAAATAATCCAAAAAACATTTACAGTAAAAGTTTTTCATATAGTTTTTGAAAAACAACCCTAAAAACAACTAACCCAAACGGATTTGTATTTCAAAAACGAAATGCTACAGTGCTGTTTTTGAAAAATAACCCCAAAAACAGCTAATCCAAACGGAGTCACAATTACGAGTAATAGAAATGGCAGGTGATGCATTGAAGTGTCGTTGATTAGCCAATAGTGGAAGAGTAATACGGAAAGAGTGTAGTGATAGTTATCTAGGAATAGAAAGTTTTGTAGATAAGGTATGAGTAGATGATAGTGAATGTTGAAAGGGTATATTTGAAAGAAACAGATAATGACACTTCTTTTTTTTTTTTTCTTTTTTCTAACACCCAACCTACTCCAACTTTATATGTTGAGGGATACTTAGTGTAAAATATAGGGTTAATCATAATTAATACCTTAAAGTATGTCTCATTTTTCACTTTATTCCCGAACCATTTTTTTGTCTCACTTTATCCCTCCATTGGACAAAATTATCCCTCTATTATTCTAAACTCTTATTTTTCTCTTTTATTTTTTTCCTTTCCCCTTTTGTGTTCCTTTATTTTCTTTGCCTCTTTTTTCTTTCTTTAATTCTTCCTCTTTCCCACAAAAAATCTTCATTTTAATGATTGAAATTTAAAAAGAGAAATTACAGAGATCTATTTTCTCTTTAAATGATTACAAAATATTCAAATCACTTTCCTAAAATACAATTTTTTAGCCTTTCAATTCTTTTAATTTTGATTTTTCCTCTTTTCTTTTTAGATTCTCATTTTATTCTCAAAAAAATATCATAAGATGAAATTGTGACCTGATTAATAATCATCAATTGAAAATTGTGACACGTGGCATTATACACAAAATTAAAATTAGTTTTTTATGCTTTTTAAACCTTCACCCAGAAATGCAATTACAAATTCAAGATAAAAATTTCCGTTGAGATGGAGTTTTCTACTGGAAATGATGACAGAGAGAAGAAAGAAGAAAGAGAAAAAGAAATAAAAGAGAGGAAAAAAGATATATGAAAAGTCAAAATAATGGAAGGATAATTTTGTCCTATAGGAGGTTAAGTGAGCAAAATTAAAGGTTAGGGGGTAAAGTGAAAAATGGGGTATATCTTAAGGGGATTAATTGTGATTAACCCTAAAATGTATTGGCCAATTTAAATGCTTAGTACGTATGAGCATTGATCATACTGCCTTTGAACTTGTGTTTGTTCATTTATGAACTCAAATTCATAGTTTTTACCTTAAACTTTGTATATATAATTTTGATTTTAATAATGCTAATAGTGCCAAATTTGAATTGAGATTGAAACTTTAACAAACACTAAAACTATTTATGTTTGACTTAATTAGTCCGAGAACTAAAGTCATACAATCTCTAAAGTAGTATTGAGCAGCTTTTGTTAATCTTTAGACTTTATTTGTTAAATGGTATGGTTCCATTTAAATTGCTATTCTTTGAAGTTTTTGTAAAAAAAATACTGTAACGATTTGACGTATATAAACTAAAAAAGTGATTGAAAATGTGTTTATAAAAAATGTAAGTTTTGTTTTTTTTTTTGGGGCAAAACTACAATCAAACATAGCCATTGATTCACAAATATACATGTGACAAAAATTCTAAATCAAAGATTAATCCTTTTTGTTCTTAGAAAAAATGAATTTCAGCCTTCTATCGTAAGGTAGTAACTTCTATGTCACCCTCACCCTTGTGTTGGCAGCTGTTCATCGCTTTCGTTCTCTTGGCTGTCGCAAAAATGAAAAGGTCAAAAGCAGCTTTATAGTTTATCCTTAATTTATGGAAAGAAAAAAAAGAAAAGAAAAACATCTATGCTTCTGGAAGGTACTTGTAAACCAAAAAGTTCGGCTTGTCTTATAGTGATACAATTGTTTATGGGCTGCTCTGAATATTAGTGGTCTGGGCAAGAACGTATTAGGACCATCACATTTGGGCTTATTGATTGGTTTTCCGATGTTGGACTTAGTTGGTTAGGGAAGCACTAGGCTTCCCACCATTCATTCAAACAAAGCATTTTAACGAAGAATATTCTATCCATTTTAGAAAGCTACGGAGCCAATTATTGAGCTGAAAAGTGAAAACCAAACACCATATGAATTATGAAACGATTGCATCCTGCCCGAATTCCATTTATCCAAAAGCGCGCACACGCACAAACACACACACACACACACACATATATATATATGTATATATATATGGCTCCGTTTGGATTAGCTATTTTTTGGGTTGTTTTTTAAAAACAACACTATTCATTTTTTGAAAAACACTCAATGTTGTTTGGATTAGTTGTTTTTCAAAAACAGAGTGTTTTTGAAAAACAAGCGTGTATGGATTCACTGTTTTTTAAAAATAACATTTAATTTTTTTTGGGCCTGTGTTCGAAATACTGAGTGCCATTTGCACTTAAACAATTATCAATTTTTTAATACATAGACAAGACATAAGTGTACAATTTATTGGGCCTACTATCTGAACAAATAAACAGGAGATGTTCTACTGGTGCTGATAATAGTACATCATATCGGCTATTGCTCTCCTACTTTCATTCCATTCAGCAATTCCTGCAGCCGACATATCTGATCCTTGTGCTGCGGGCATTGGGTTGAAGGGGTTTATGTTATCTGCCAATGCTATATCTGCTTCTTCTTCAGCAAAATATGCATCATTTGGAACATACTCGCGCATGAAGTTGTGCAAGGCCATACAAGCTAGGACAATATTATTTTGCGTAGCCATCATGTAATTCTGCATAGGGCCCTTAAGTATTGGAAATCGTTTCTTCAAGACGCCAAACGTACGTTCTATAATGTTTCTTAACGATGCATGGCGTTTGTTGAAGAGTATCCTCACTGCCCGCTCTTGCGCGGTTCCCCGTGCACCTTTAAATGGAGCCATAAATCCTGGCATATTCTGGTAAGCTGCGTCCACCGTGTAATACTTCCCTGGCATAATGAAATTATATTTATATAAACTTTGAAGACGCAATGCGGAAAGGAATTATGTGATTTAATCTGGACTAACCTGGTGGTGGCCACGGAAATGCACAATTAGGATCTTGTATGACTTATTGTAAGATTCTAGAATCATGTGCGCTACCCTCCCACCCTACCCTGACATAAGTAAATCTCATGTTGTGATCACACACGGCTAGAACGTTTTGTGATAAGCTACCATGCCGGTTCCGGTAACGTTCCCTGTCTTCGGCTGTACACCAGGCCGAAACATGTGCTCCGTCAATCGCTCCAACGCAATCCTAATAAAAAAAAATTCTAGACATAAGTTGGTCACAGCTGTTAGACAAAATGAAATAGTAATTTGACATAGTAGCTCATAACCTTAAACCAGGACCAAAACAAAGCACTGTTCTGTATTCTTGGATGGGTTGTGTGATCATCTACCTGTCGGACCAGGTCGCGTCCCAATCGAACGAGAGATCTAAGGCAGCGTCGTAGATGGCGGTCCGTTGTCTCGGGAGAATGTTGGAATCTGTCGGCAAGCACCCTATGTCGCTCATTATGGCTCAAACACAGCAGGCATATAGCAACGGACTCATGAATCCCCACCCGTTGTGTCGGGTGGGGCACCCAATAGTCCCTTTGAACCAACAAGTCACACAATTGACGGAAAAGGGGAGCTTCCATTCGAAGGTTGTCGAATATTCTGTCTCGATGGCCGTTTATCAGCTCTATAACATATTGAGGACCTGACTGTGCACTATCTCGAATTCTTCGCCGTTGGCCCGAGTTGATGTACGGGTCGAATAAGGCCAATCCAGCAAGAATAAAGGCAGCAAAGGCCAACATGAGCTCCTCGTCGTCCGAGTCATCAGATGAGTTCCCACCATTCACATAACCATCATACTCCATTTCGTTTAATCTGTGCGACTGCGTTGGACGTGAATCTGAAAAAAAAAAAGGAAAACAGAGATATCATTCAAAGCCAATCTTAATTTGCCAAAACAAAGTAGAAAATATAAAATTCAACATATACATGGACCAAAATTGAACAAAAACCTATTGGCCAACCAATTTATAGCCAAGACGATAAGTTCTTGGTTTGTAAGACAAGAGGATTGGTTTGTAAGCCAAGAGGATAAGTTCTTGAAATATATAGCTATTCGATTGGTTTGTAAGACAATACGATAAGTTCTTGAAATAGCCTAGAGCCTTCGCCAACCAATTTATAGCCAACAAGTTGAGAAATCCAATAGAAGTTTTGCATCGTACTTCATAAAAAGAATCTTACATCTTCTTCAAGCAAGTCACGTATTCTTGAAAGAATTGTCCAAGTAAGACATATTCTTCAAAATAGTTGTTGAAGTAAGTCATATTCCCTACTTAATACTTGCTCTAAAAATGATCATCATACCTAAAAGCACCTATTTTCCTTCCAAAAGTTATTTTTTTCTTGTCCCTTACTTCAATTTTGAATAAGTCTTTGTTGAAATGGACTTTTGTTGAAATGGACATCCATTTCAGGGGATGTTGAGATAAGTCTTTGAGATGGACATCCATTTCAGCTTTAGTTGAAATTGATCTGCCAATTCAGTTGTTGAAAGACTTTTGTTGAATAAGTCTTTGTTGAAATGGACATCCATTTCAGCGGATGTTGAGAGGAATTTCAGGCCAAGATAGATAGATCATCTTTGTTAAAGTAAGTAAGGAATTTTCTTTATTGTTTATTAAGATAGATCATCTTTATTCTTTATTCTTTATTCTATCTTTGTTAAGATAGATAGATAGATAGATTATTCTTTATTCAAAACTTCAGGCCAAGTAAGGAATTTTGTCCCTTACTTGAATTACTTCATATAATTCTTGAAGTAAGTCGCACAATTGAGTTGCGTGGATGAAGTTAGACATATTCTTGAAATAAGTGACACATATTCTTTACTATAAATTGTACGCCAAGTAAGGAACGTTATCCGTTACATCTTTCTTATTATCCAACTCTTACAATTTTTCTGAACCTACTATTCCTGACATTCCAACAACAGACATAGCAATAAGTAAGGAAAAAACTCCCCTACGTATTCCTGACATTCCAACAACCTGCATGGATGAAACTATCACTCTTAATAACTATCACTCGAAACAGACATAGCAATACCCCAACCAGTACATTTCCTGAAAAAAAAACCAGTTTTAAATAAAACAAAAAAAAAAATCTTCAATCCGCAAACCAATTCTTAAACAAAGGCATCATGAATTTAATTACTCAACATTAATCCGCAACACAACAAACCAGTATTCATCCGCAAATTCAAATATACAAACCACAACACCCAGAAAGGATAAAGTCCAAGTTCCGGTAGCAAATGCTACACCTAACAGATCTCAAATACAAACAAACATTAGGCAACAACTCAAGTTTCAAATAAATGCTCCTGATGAACAACGAAAGCACCTAAAAGGGGGGTGGGGGAGGGGGCTCCTGAGAGTCAGGGGGGAAACAGCCTTTTAGCTTCATCCAAGTGATGCGGTCGGCGTCACTTCCAGCTAAATTCCAAATATCCAGCTCTTGTTTATCCTTCAATATCTCAGCTGCATTGTATTTGGCCATGAAATTGACGTTCTTAATAAGTTTAAGTTGCTCCATGGTAACTTCATAGTCGGTTTTCTTCGATGGATCGTGGCCAGAACGATTCTTGTTCGGAGAACTAACTGAGGCACTCGTGCTGGAGCTCTTCTTCCGACTAACCAGTGACTCGATGCTTTCACAGACCCTGAGATATCTATCGGTCACTGAGCCAGAAGCGGTGGACATGGGACTACAGCCAGAGCCATCACCCGACTTCCGCTTTCCTTTCCCCTTTCTTTTTGCTTCTTTCGGCCCTCACACCTCAATTTCAGCTTCCTCGTCCCTGCTGGACCTTGATCCCTTTCCCCGTGCAAGCCGGGCAGTAGTCTCCATTTCTCGCTCATCGGCTGAAGTACGGGGCTCGTTCTCGAAGCCAGAACTGAAGTCTCCCGTCGCTCCTTGGTTGACGAAGACTTCCTCAAGCAAATGATAGACGGTGCAGTCATTTCGAAATTTGCTGTATTTTGGGTTGACCTGACAAAACAAATTCAGCCAAAACAGTTTTAATGGGATATACACGTATGAAATGACAGAACAGTTTATATACAAAAAAAAAAGGCACAGAAAATGGTTAAACCTGCTCCATCGCGGCCCATTGGCTATCATCCATAAGCCATGTAAACTTCTGGCTATCCCAACCCATTCCCGTTCCACGCCTCTTAAAGGCAATGTACAGCTTGGTCTCCCCACGCAATGCATAATACTTGCCCCTTATACTATCATCAGTAAACGAGGTGCCGTACTGGCCATTTAACCGGCGCTGGATTTCGGGAACCACGTAGGTACTAATATTGTCCCTAATTTCACCCTGTCTATGCATCTCAGCAAGGTGGTTGGCAAATCGGATTTCGTGCTGCCTAGAGTAATTACAACGCTCCTTATCTTGATGGCGCCTTTGTTTTCGCATCTTAATAAGCCATACACAAATCCAGTTGAAAAAACAGATTGTAAGCAGCTTTTTAGAAAGGAAAACAGATTGTATTGCATAAGCGGCTAAATTTTATACAGCCATTAACGTTTATACAGCAATAAATACACTTTAAATACACTTTACAGCCAAATCTGTGTATAACCCAAATCTGTCGGCCATTAAATACACTTTAAATTATACAGCAATAATCATAGGTTTAAATACTAGACATTCATGTATTGTAATGAGGATCAAGCCAAATCTAATGCTAACTAAACACTAGCAACTCATCCAACATAACACTAGCAAATCAGGAACAAAACCAGTTTTGGTAATGTGAAGTTTTGCTTTAGAGTCAAGAGTTATGACAAAAACTACCATGCATAGTGAAATCCGACAATAAAGGTCAACGCAATGAAGAAAAACATTCGAATTTGATGTGGCATGGGACAAGGAAGAAGGTCCAACTTTAGAAGAGTCAGCCCCAAACATATTATGACTAAAATGGTGTTTCACACACAAAATTAGGCAAAAATAACTACAGGAGGTACAATGGTACCTTGTAGTAGTTAGAAAGGCACTTCCGAATATCGTTTTCTGAGGTGAATGACCTGATTGAAAGAGATTTCTGGATCCCAATCGGCTTCAAAGCTGTGTCAACAACAAGGATCGTCGAATACTAGACAACCATACTATACAATGCACTGAACAAAGGGGAAATTGGCAAATATACCTTTGGCAGCACGGCGGGTAACAGGGGGCATGAAATCCTAGCCAGCGGCAATATAGAGCGGTAAAGCACCCTGTATAAGCGAATGGACAGCAAGGAGAAGTTAGACTGCTCTATAAATTCAGTTGCTTTTGGGAAATCAAACTGCCCTAAAATTTGACTCTCAACATCTGATCGCGCAAGTTTGAAGTAATAGCAACAGCTACATAAATATTTGGAACATGTAGCAACAGCCGTCGAATGTAGAGTTAAGCGCAATCACATCATATAATTTACAGTTTCGATCAAGGCATTTGGATTTCACCTTCAAAGTTATCCAGAGAGAAAAAGAAGAGTGATATAATCTGAACAAGATTCAATTTTGGAAGGGGATAAACAAATCAAGCAGTTTGCCAGGATTTGCGTGTTTGGTAATAAAGGTATAGATGGAGTACTGGTGGGAAGTAAATCAAATACAAAAACAAAGTACGAAACGTGTGTTCCTTCCATTATTGAAATCTCATACCAATACCAAGACCAGGACAAAGTACAGGACAAGAAAACATTAAAAAGAGCTCCCATCTGTTCTGAAATCACCCGACGCAGAAAGCATGATACAGAGCTATCAAGCTCCCCTTCCCCTTCCCCCGTTTTTTCAGATTTCCTCGGACAAATGCATCAATTCGACTGACTATGAGAACTAGTAAAAAAAGCACAGTGCCATTTACTGCGTACCATCTTAAATTAGCTTCCAAGATTTCCAGGAAGAGGCCTGAATATAATGGATTTTACTTCAGTTATTACATACATAAAATGATATAATCATAGGAGCGAAGGATTTGATATCCTTGTTGCTGACCTAAAGATTTCAGACACCCAACAGAGTAATGTTCGTTCTAAAGCTTCCCCAAGGTCAAAACGCAACCTGATTCCACTGGTTTACCTCATATAATCATACTTGAAAAAGGTAAAATAAGCAGGGAAATCTAGAACTGGCTTACCTTATTCGACCTGAACAACGAAGATGCTCTACTGTCGGTTACTTTTTGGAGCTGAAGACCCGCCGTGATTTAGTGTCTCAGTCATAGGAAAAGGGTGAGAATCGCGGCGTTAATGGGCTCAGATTTAGTGTCTCTGGTTGCAGATCCGGAGCATTTTGCAGATCTTGAATCCACTCTGGTTTATTGTCCTCACTGCAGCGGCTAGAATGTTTGCGTGTTTGGGAAAGTAGTGTAGGGTTGAATGGATCTGAACGATGAAGGCAGCCAGAGAAAGTCTTTTGGCCATTAAGTCAAAACGACGTAGTTTTGTTAAATCTTAACTGTAGATTGCATTGTTTTAGACTTACAATACTGGTTGTTTTTGAAAGACAAAAACAATTTTTCCAAAAATTGACATTCCAAACGAAGCCATATATTTATGGTACACACCTGTAGCTTTCTTTTCAATCCAAATATTTATTTACTAATATTCTCTACTGATCTCTCCACATTGGTCCAATCTGCAACAATACCTCTTAAATCCTTAACTGTAAATTATTTGAGATATTTTTATTATAGTATTTTTTGTGATATGATATATGTGAGATAAAAAAATAATTAGGAAGATAAAAGGTGTGTTGAAAATTGTAATGATGATCTAAGCAAATAAATTTTGACAAATAATTT